CCAATTGTCTGTCTTTGTATATACGCAAACTAGTACGTCAGTTTTGGAGATATCGAACTGCAATTTTGTACACAATATTTTCTGCACAAAAAGCTGCTCATTTATCTGAATCGCCGATATCGAACCACTATGTTATATAGCTGGCATACAAACTGAAACATCGGAACCAAGTTCTTGTATGGAAAACTCTTATAATTTGAGTTATCTTCACGAAATTTGGCACAGATTCTCCAAAGCAACGCTACAACCTCCGAACATATAGTTCAGTTCAAACCACTATAGCATATAGCTGCCATACAAACTAACCGATCAAAATGCCATATGTGAAGGGTATTATAGCTTCGGTGCAGTCGAAGTTAACATTTTTTCTCGTTTCTAAAACTGTTTCCATGTTACACAATGTAATTGTTGCATATGCAATTTTTGTATTAAGTAATTTTTCAAAGCAATAAAACAAAAACTTTAATTGCGCGCCGAAGGAGGCGCTGACGAAAATTCATAATAAAATATGAAAAATTCATATTTTGAACCAGAGCAATTTGCAACAGTACAACTTCATTTACAAATGTAGACAGTTAACACACACAGACGCACATATACAGCGGTGCACATTGTTGAATATTTGATATATTATGCATTTGTGGCATACAATGTTGCATACATGTAGTATGCACGTCCAATAGTATGGCTCTGTGTTGCATGGCAAGCACTGAGAGCAATGTGGATGAGCCGAAATGTCAACGCTGACAGCTGACAACATATTATTAACCTGAAATATATGCGTGTACTGGCGAGCATACAAAATTAATAGCCCGAATTAACTCCACACACAGCCAGAAATGTAGGCAGGAACACAACAACAACAATAATAAAATATGTTTTAAAAAAGTATGAACCATCAAAATCGGTTGAAAGACAATGAATGTGGCACAAAGGATGACAGACGCGCAAAACACATGCATGCATCAGCACAGCACAGCACACATGCATGCATGTACATGTATGTAGGTGTGTGTTGGTGATGATTTTAAAAACGTTATTAAAAATGCGTAAATTTCACCGCGCTGCCACACAGACATCATTGGGGCGTGCAAATATTTCTGTATGACATAACCGGAGAACCGAGCCGCCGCGCATCCTTTGTTTTCGAATAAATCGCCTCACGAGACGTTTGAGGCGTTAGCAGCAGCCACAGCGCGCCATTCAACGAGGCCAATGACCTATTTCATGACCGCGCTTTATTTTTTATTACTTTTTTTGTTTTTGTTAATCAAATTCGAAATTAATTACGCGCAAAGGATCGCAATTCGCAGGCGCGCTCCACAAGCAGGCGTTCGGTTTTTAGTATACTTTTTTTTTTGTTTTTCATTGCCCTACTAAAAATGCCTGCGCGACTTCTGCACTGAATTTATAATGCGCGTGCAACAAAAAACGCAATGCGCACATCATCTGCTCGTTGCGCTAAACGTTTTTTTGGCAGCGAGCCCTTCGCGCAACAGCCGAAGGGTAATTAAAAAATTTCAACCTAAGCGCCAGACGCGCCATTGGACGCAGGCATCGGCTGTCGGGCTGTCTGTGCATCACCTGAGAATGATCGACGTGAAGGATGAGTAAAATAGACGCGTATTTATGAGCCTCGAAAAAAACGGTATGAAAAATGGAGCTAAGAAAGAGGTTTGAGTCACACCGAAGCTAAGCTTCCCTAATGTGATATGCTGAGATCGAAAGAAAAAGCATCAAGTTCCTAATTCATCATAGATATTTTTAAGCTATTAACCAAAAAGCATGAGAATTCTGAATTTTCGCTTTAGAGTACCGGACTAACGAGCATCCACGAGTGTTTCAAAGCCACGCAAAAACAGTTTTACCCGAATTGTCTTACTTAACTAAAGTACGCTAAACTTTTTGATTACTGTATCGTGAACTCTGAAAAGACATTTTGGCTGTTCGCAAGGATGACGTTGAAGAGACATTGACACCTAAGTCATTTGGCTGAAATCATCATCTTCAGCGGTCAGTCTTCTTCGAATTCTGCTTTACCTATCCCTTCGGTTTCAAATATTTGTTGCAAACATTCATGGATCCCTAATCCTTATGTAAGTTCGTCTGAGTTTTTCAAATAGTTCATATATGATATCAGGTTCCCCGCCCTAAAGAGATCTCGCCTATCCAGCGAAAGACCAATCCCCCAGGGTAAAACGTACATCTCCTTATCTGATGATAGAAAATTCTTTATATGGAAAGTGGATTTGATTTTTATCCAGGTTGATATTTTTATTTGTCTTTGATCTGTATTTTGAGATCTTATTTCTTCCCTCTTTTAATATATGTAGGTATTTCGAACAAGCTCAGTATCCGCTCTGTGTGTAGGGGAAACTAAACAGCAGAACGCTGCCACATCCGTGCTATCGACGTTCAACATTTATTTTCACCATAGGCACGACAGCTGTTAAGTATACTAAAAAACCGTCTACCGCCAGCGATAACCCACTTAAAGCATAAGCTTTTATCGATCCAAACCTTAATGCGTCTCATTTTGAACGATCCCACGTCCTTTGCACTCCATCCATTGTCACATGACCAACCACTTTCGTACGTCCAACCCAACCATTCATCCATTTATCCAATCACTTGTGCGTCTCTGTGTGCGCACCGCATCCACCTGTGCCGCCGCGTCTCATCATCGCGTGTGATAATTACGCGCATCGTTGACCGTTTTTATGCCATTTCATTTATTAATTAATAATTTCATATTTTTATGTTGTCTCCCCAATAATGTTGCCACAAAAGCGACAAATCGAATGCTACTTTCGACCGGCCGCGGCATGTACGAGCATGCGCTCGAGTATGTGTGTCGTTATAACGCGGTCGGGTGACAATCTCAATGGCGTTGACTATGGCGCTGCCAGGCGGCTACACTTTGGCGACATTGATGCCGCATCAATTTTCCTCTTTTTTCTCCACTTAGCGATGTTGATGATGATGATGATGTGATTAGTTTCCACTTGTCCGGTTTGCTCAGTGAGTTGTGTGGATGTCTGGTTTTCTGGCTTCAAGCTTCTGGCGGTTTTACGTCTTTTCTGGGGGTTTTCATGCCAACGTCGGAATTTGTTGCAAGGTGTTGCTGCAACATGCAGTTGATTAAAAAATTAAATAGCAATCTTTTCGGTAATTTCTGCTCGAGTAATATGCAGTTAATTACTTGAAAATGTGCCAATTATGTGGTGAGCGGTTGTGTCTGACGAAGCGCGTTAATCGTTTGTCCAGAGTTTTATCGGATTATGCTTACGACGCAGATTCATATAGCTAATTAAAATTTGCTTTTGTTTTTGTTTGTTGTGAGTTCACTTAGGGCGCGCAGTAAATTTCAGATTTGTATGAGAGCTAGTTAACTAGATTACTGGTGGAGTTTAGGAGTCATCTGTTTATTGCTGAGATTGTAAAAGTTTAATTTAGTCAATCAATTATTGATTGCTTAAGAATTTTTATAGCGATTGACTCACAAAGGTGCTTTAGTTAGGTGGTATGTGGCTTTAGAGAGGCTTCTCAAATGGAGGTCTTTTTTGAAGTAAGCGCCTCCGTTTATAAATATATGTATGTTTAGCCGCTCTAAGCAGCGGACGACTATGCTTGGTGCTAGCCATGTAGAAAATTTCGCAACGTTAAATATTCTCTGTTGGGAAATTAAGTAAGTTTTCGGTATTTATCACTTTGTATCAGAACCGACGGGACTTGAGAGGAATGTTGACTTTGCTGGGTCGGTTGAAGTCTGAGAGCTGAGTATTTTGGGCGTATAGCAGAACTCTCCATATACATAATATGTCATCACAGTTAAGCTTATCAACTAAATTGTAAAACTTACTTTCGAAAATAGCTTGAAATATATATACATCCCTTTTATTGAAGACTATTATTAGATTGATTCTATGGTACTTAGTAAGTTCCCGTTTTTAACCAATACCACAGAATTTCTAAATCCTATAGAATTGAATTTAAATTCGATCCCCAATATTGCCTTACCGTCCAGAGAAGAGTGGGAAAAGGGCCAGGTGGATAGGTGGATAAGCATATGTGCGGATGGGTCCAAGCTAGTTAATCGAGTTGGAGCAAAATTATATACCAAAATCGCCTTCCGTCTAGCAGACCACAGCAGTGTCTTCCAATCGGAGATCACGGCAATTAAAGCAGTATTTTTTCCTCTGACAAGAAGTGTACTCACAACTAGGAATATATTTATATATTATATACAACGGTCAAGCCGTTGCGAAAACACTAAATTCTTTTAGGGTTTCGTCTAAGATAGTTAAATAATGTCTTGAGCTCTTAGCGGATCTAACATCATATTTAACGATAAACCTGCAATGGGCTCCAGAACATAGTGATATCCATGGTAACTGTGAAACAGATGAACTAGCCAGAGCAAACACTACCCCGCAATTGGAATGCGGAAAAGAGGGAGTTTATATGCCTCTGGCTACTTGTAGATATATAATCGCCAAAGATGTTACTAATATAGCTGAGTCTCGGTGGGTCAATCTCTGACTTGCTCAACATACAGGCAAACGTGACATGAATGAAATATAGACCGCGCATATCGACTATTAAAATACAAAAGGAATGACATAAGAACTCTAGTAGGAGTGCTAACAAGTCACTGACTAATTGGCAGACAAGCCAGAGGTAGAAGAAGAGCAGACTATAAAACATCTTCTATGCTAATACAAGGCTTTGTATAGGAAAAGCATCTTAACTATCGTTCGAAGCTTTCTTGACGACGTTTTGGAGGTTGCACAGATACAACTTTTTTGTACTGATGAAATTCATCAAAAGCACGGTGTGGTTCAGAGAGCAGACAATAGAGTGAGGGGATTTCAGTCCCGACGGAATCAAAATGGGCCTCTTAAAGACCTAGGTGCGTCGCCAGACAGTCACTCCACCTTCCTACCTACCTACCTACCTATACAGGGCATGGAGACGGTTATAAACAGCTTTTCATTTAATGCCAACACCTATTTTTAATTTAATTTTCACATTGTACAATACTTTTTTCTTTTGCTGCTAACCTATTGATCTTTCACTGCGTTGACTTAAACCACCCATTTTGGCTAACGTCAAAGTAACAAATTCGCAAGACAATTTTGGAGTGTGCGACTGACAGAAAATATGTCGCCATTTGATTGACGACGTGTGATATTTGTCAAAAATTTCATAGATTTATTGCTAAATTTGTTGACCAAATTCAGACGCGCCACAGCAGCTATTACGAGAATCCATGTGGAATTGCCAACTCGTTTTTTGTAGAGTGTAGTGATCGAGCCATATTTGTGGTGAGTAATTAAATACTTGTAAAATGTTAAAATAGTAAGAATTCTTTGGTGGCAATGCCGCGCAGCTGGAAAAGAAAAAACAAGTAAAATAAAAATCAAATCTGTTGGTGGTGTTACAATTTGGGCGAATTCTTGAAGTTTTTTACGTTTGGTGTGTTGTAAAGAGTTGTTGTTAGGCGCTCAAAAAAATATCCTATAACTACTGTACGTTTACGCCTACAAGACCAACAGCTTGTTAAACGTATAACGAGAAAAACGCTTGGTCAAGTTATGTATACGTCTATAACTCAGGTACAATTGGGTAGAACCTTTCTAGTTGCTTGGTACCTAAAGAGTTTTAGTGCTTCTCCTCTAGATTCTTAGTGATCGCGTATGCGTCAAAATATCACAAAAAGTCTAACAGACAGTAGATTCGTCTCCATCTATCATAGGTATGCGCTCCATTTTTTGTACTCGTAACTTAAAAGAGAACAGTTTCGAATATCTTAGACTATTATCCCACTCATTTTAGAAGCCTTTGGACTAAATTTGCAATTTAGTAGAAACGTTTTTTTATTAACAATCAAAAACGAAAAATTTCGCATACATTCTGTTCTAACTCTATGGAGGAAAAGTATGGACGGTTACTATAGTTGTTGGCTCGACTCTTGTTGTTCGAGATACAAATTTTAAAACAAGTTTACGTATTTTTAGGCGCTGAAAGACGCTACAAAGAGCTGGACGAACTATAAAGTGGTGCACATCTCGTCCGATAAACTGCGAGAGCTCCAGCTCATAAAGTATCCAATACTGATACAGCTGCTGGTAGCAGAGGCAAAGTAAATGTTTCGAATTGGAAAGACCAAGTTAGGAAGAGCTTTTTTCACTGTTTGTTATAGGTATATAACTACCTACTTCTGAAACCTTGAAACGACAAGTCCGTTATACTGGACTTGGTAAAAGTTGCTTATTTATTCCGTGTCAAAAATTTTGAAGTTCTTCATAGGTTCGTGTCGAAAGATACATATGTGTCTAAAGATCATTTTGAGCTTTTTTGTTAATTATTGCTTAAGGCTCTGCATATTTTTTGTAGTATGGAAATTCTTGATGCTCTAAGTGAAGACTAGTATATATATGTTTGATATAATTTTTTTCAACAACACTCTTCATTGGTTGGGCCTGATTACTACAAGACTTGTAGACATTCAAAAAGCATTAGATTCGCTGCCTTCAGATATCAGTTAACTCTAACCATAAGCTAAAAAGATGACGAGGTCTTTTATAGCTTATCTTTGGGATTTTTAGTTCGTAATACCTACCATTACATGATTCATTTGAACTTTCAGAGGTAACGGAAGTATGTAAAGGCAGGTTGTATAGAACTATTTTGGAAGTAGTTCATTGTTCTGAAGCAGAGAGCCGATCCGAGTTTGTGCTTACGACGCTCATCGTCGAACATTTTCTCGTTAACAAGTTTACAGCTTTTGGAACATTATACAGACTTCATATTGATTTTGAGGCCAAACACTTAGTAAAGTTACTTTTTAGAATTCGTCTGCATTTTCTACTTGTGAAAAAGATTCCCCTAATAGTGCGCGCTGAAGCCTCTAACCATCGAAGCTAAATAAAAAATACCGAAAAGGTGCAACATCAAAAAATTCGACTGCAAGAATTTACACAAATTTTTAGCAAAACTGCGTTAAATATTTGCTATATAAAAAGATTACAAGTACAATAACAATACAAAATCCAGCAGCTACAGCGGCGTACTGTTATTGAATTTATTTATTTGACGTTTTTTTTTTGCCGAGCAGCAAATTGCCGCTGCTGTCATTTAAAATCACCTTCAGCACTGCAAACGCTGAGGAATGCACGGTGACAACAACAACAAAAACAACAAAATGTGCATCAACAGCAACAAAAGAACAAGCAACGCAAATATCCACAACAGCAACATGTATGGCGAAAAAGCGCTGCGCATGCGTGCCACCGCCACAGAATTGTAACAAATGCATTCGCACCAACGAACAACTTCAGCAGCAATGCAACAACCTGTTGTTAAATTGTTTGATTTCTTGTTGTTGCAACAGCAGCAACAACCACAAATCGTGGTAGAAACGAAAAATCCAAAAGTACTACATACGTACAATTTCCAGCGATTAGCCGCCACAGCCTTATCAATATTCCAGCTGTGTGCCGCAGACGACAACAATAGCAACAATAGTGCGATAAAGCACAAGAAGAACGCTGGCAGCTGGTGCTGGCATTCTAAATAAAGCACGCCACGCAATTGTCTGTGGCAACATTTATTGTGCTGATGCCACGGGTTGTTGTTGTTTATTGTTGTTGGTTTTATACCCTATACGGCGTATATAAAGTTTGCGACGTTGTTTGTAATACCCAGAAGGAAACGTCGGAGATCCTATAAATCATATATTATATAATATATAAATAAACAGCGTGACGAGTTGAGTCGATTTAGCCATGTCCGTCTGTTCTTCTGTATAAATGCACTGGAATATGCCTACGTTTTTGAGATATCGATCTGAAATTTCGCACACGTCCTTTTCTCCCCAAGATGCTGCTCATCTGTCGGAACCGCCGATATCGGACCGCTATAGCATATAGCTGCCATGCAAACTGAACGATCAGAATCAAGTCCCTGTATGGAAAACTTTTTTATTTGTAAAGGGTATTATAGCTTCGCGGCAACCGAAGTTAACGTTTTTTCTTCTTGTTTTTGTTGGTTTTGGTATTGTTGGCAGCATAGCTGTTTATGTGCTGTTGTGACTACTGTCATTACAATGTTGTTGGCACACCAACTGGCGTTCTTTTGTTGGCTGATACTTAAATTATTGTTGTTGTTGTTGCTCGTGCGCAGTTGCAGTTATCCAGCGGTTGTCCGCCACTCACTCCACCGTTCTGTTCTGCTTCGCTCAGCTCTCCCGACCCATGAAATGGTCAAAGGAATGCAACTTGTTTCGCATGCATGCGAATGCGGCATGCATTTGCGGTATGCCACAAACGCCCCGAATTGCATTGCTGTCATGTCGAAAAAAAAAACACAAAATAAAATATGCATGTATATAAAGAACAACCACAGCAGTCAAAAGAGCCCAAAAAGCACGCATTTTAAAAGCGTCGAAAACCGCATTTAAAAAACTTGCCACATCACCAACAACAAGAACAACGCAAAAAGTGTCACTGCAACAGCAGCAGGTTCGTAGCAGGCAAACAAAAACACCAGTTGCTATCTTCGTGCAAAAAGCTGTTTGATTTGTTGCTCTGCCGGGAGTTACCGCAATTTTCGGCACTGACTGACAGTTGCCACAGCCTCTGTGTCTGCCTTGTGCTGCTTTCCTCAACGACTTGTTGCGCATTGCAGATTTCGGATTTCGATTGCACACGCCGGCAGTCGAAATCACGAAAATTCACGAAATCACAAATCAGTTGCCACCACTTTTTGGGCGGTTTTTGTTGTTGTTGTTTTTGTGGCAATGCCTCGTGTTTGCTACTTATGCAACTTAACTGTTGATTCTTTTATTGTTGTCGTTGTTGTTGCCAGCGATCAACAATTCAACACATCAAAAAATTAAATATAATACAAGTGACTACTGTTATTTGAGATACGCCGTTACATATGTACATACATACATACTTACATTTGTATAGATGAAAATATCAGTTGTGATTAACTTGGCGCATAAAAAAATCGCTAAAAAAGTTTTTTTCTGTAGCCTGCTTTTAACTCGGTACCTGTCGGCAAGCTTTGCTCCGAAAGTTGCGAAAGTTTCTACATCGCTAGAAGCCTGTAATATAGACGTTTTCTATAGACAGGAAAAAAAGTACTTTCATGAGAATTACCTAAGTAAGGGTGGCTTTCGAACATTGTTTTTTTTTATCTAAATCCCTAACTCTGAAACTGAAACTTTTGGGTATATTTAGCAAGAAAATGACTGCCTAAAAATTGATTTTCAAAGAGCTGTGTCCTGCGTAATTTCAAATCGATAAAATATGTCGTAATCAAAGGGAATTGTTACCCTTAAATTTTATACCGAAACATTTTTGGGTTTTGACAGCACTTGTTTCAATACTAAAAGACTAGTAACCGTATATTTTTTAATCTGATTATTTTCTCTAAGTCTTTAAGCAATCTAATTAAAAAAAATACATATGTATGTATTTCTAAACGATTGAAATTCACATTTGTTGTTATGTCCATTTAGAAAATATTTTAAAAAATATTTGTCCTTGCAAACAATGGGTGAGTCTTAAAGAACATATGAATCATTCTTTGATGATCCTGAGATATATGTTTTACTTCATTCTCCAATCGAAAAAGATATCAGTGCCGCCAGCAACTTGCGATCTTATCCTAAACTTATAATTAAGTCGTTGTTTTTATTCAAAAACATTTTTTTTTGAATAATTATTGGACTAGTCAAGTTCGTTTACATGAAAACTTTTTTTTTTTTTTTTTTTTTTTTTTTTTCAAAGGGTATTCGGTTGCATATTAATTATTGGGGTTTCGAAATACAGTCAGTGGGATAATGGGACTTGAATTTCATTAAGAAAACTATTTTTTCAATATATTGTCTGTTTCTGTATTTCTGTTCTATATTCGGTTTTTAAGACGGAATTTTCCCGTCACTAAACACGGTAATATTTCGTCTTCTCTTAAGTGTAAGTTCTCGCTGTTTTTTTTAATGTAAATGCAATTTTATTGTAAGAAAATGGTTACAAATAAATTTTCAAAGTATCTCACATCGCTAGTCACAACTTTTTCTCATCTTTCTGGCAAAGCTCGAATACCGTTGCAGTAAAACTATTCAACTTATGATGCTATCCATGAATCAAGCCATTTTTCGATGTCGTCTTGTAAGTGAAACTGCTTCTGAGCCAGACCAAGGCCATTGAACGGAACAAATAATAATTTGACGTTGTAATATCTAGAGAATATTGCGGGTGGGACTTCCTATTTAAGCGTTTCCAGGTAGGTTTTAAGGGGTTTGGCAACGAGA